GGAGTAATCTCTTGGTTTCTCCGACGTAGTTGCTTTGTCCACAACTGCACCACATCCGATAACCGACTCTAGCCGTTTCCTGCCGTGGTAGTGGGTCTTTCGATCTCATGACCCGGCGCCTGATGGGTGACGATAGCGAGCATAATTTTCGCGCAATTACCAAGCGCGCATCCAACACGGACGAGGAAATCGTGCCAATTAATGAGTCGAACGCGAAGTGTCAAGCCATCACCGCACAAATTAAGGCGCAAGCGGTGGCTACAGAAGTGGATAATTACAGTTCGCACGTGGATGACCACTACGAACTATAAATACCATGCAATTTGTGCATGTTCCCCCCCCCTATCTGCGCATGACTCAGAATATTGTATCATTACCTATGATTAACGATTCCCGACGTAATCCAAAACGTCAGGACAATAAAACTCGCGTTCCAGTGGTCGTACCTCTTTCTTCTGAACTGCTTCCTGGAACTTGCATATTCACCTCTATCTGATAATTAGCTGTTTCTGTGTCGCCGATGTACTACTACGTAAGAGCAAGTGTGGCCTAATGTGCAGAGTTCGCGTTGGGACGGGGGAGTTATAGGGCCTGTATAAACGCTGCGAGCGAAGACGAGGTTGGATTACATAACTGTAACCGATGAAAGTATCCGCTGACGCAGAAACATGGGGTAGCCGCCGACACTTTATGGATAATTTGGAATGATTTGTTTACGTTTACTCAGTGGCCGCTTTCAACCAAGTGAGCCACGATGACGCTAGAGGTGGATTCTCCCATGCTTTGATTTGGCCAGGCAATTTAGTATCTCGCATTTGCTTGGATTGAGATCTAGGTTTTCGACGTATATAACTTATATTACTGTGTGGGCCTGGTGGTGAGTAATCGAAAGTGTACGTTTGCTGAGCTTGACTACCTAAAGGTTTGTTGAACTGAAGTACTCATTCACAATAAGCGCCGGGCTCCAGAACCAGTAAAACTTTAAATTAGGATAGGATGCTTGTTAGTCTTTAATTCTTAACCCCTCGTGGTTCCTGGAGATTAAACAGCCTAACTTGTATGCGCTAACCTATCTGGTTATCTTAAAAATATCAGAATAATTCATTTGGCCCAGTTGTTAAAAATTCGGCGGCATTTGTGGTAGCCTCATGGGTCATTTGGCTAGAGTGGCGTCTCTAATGAAGCCTTCTCCTTGTTGCGCTGAGCTCGAATACCACAAACGCCGCTGAGTCTTCCACAACCGGATCAATTACATTATTCAAATCTGTCAAGGGATCCTACTAATAAAATGTGCCCGCTAGGCACAAGGTGAATTCTAAAGTAATTGCTTAGGAACTCCCGCTTGAACACTCAACTGACTGTATCAGAATTTTAGCAGTAGAATATGCGATCGCTGGAACAAGAAATTTATTTTCCTGAGTATTGTGCAATATCTACATATTTCACCCTAATCTTGCATTTATCACACTATTCTACGGTTACCTATGATTAAGTGTTCTCCTCGACATAATCCGAAACGTCAGGAAAATAAAATTAATGTTCCAACGCTAGCACCTTCTACTTCTGAACTGCTTCCTGGAACCCGCTTCCAGTTGTATCAGAATGGCCTATTTAATACGTTGCAGTAGACTGGGCGGGTAGATCGATCTAAGTGTTATTTAGCTCACTGATTGCGATGGGGTCTCGTGACTCAGTTGGCAAGAGCGCTGGCTGTACTCAAGCCTACCCCCTTGCTGCCGTGAGTTACAATCCCACCGAG